GGAAATGTATTTCATATAGTCACTATCTCATCATGCCATCCTGTGACACCATTGTATATATTACATCACTGTTTATATTATATCATGTTTTCTGTTACGTTCTTTTTTCCTTTCTTTCTCGCCTATACACAGGCATATACAGTACTAGGGTGGGTCTTGGCTTTCTTAATAAAGATTTGTACATACAAGTGAAGATTCATACAAGTTAGGTGGAACCTAACAATTGGTGCACTAGCCGGCTCACTGTCAATCCAAGATCACAGTAAATACAAGGGAGCCAAATAATCCAATCATTACCACTAGCCAGTGGTAATTTTATATGCCAGTGCGAACAAGAGCGCAACGCAGAGGAACAACTTGGTGACGGATTAGAGCGGTTAGGAGGTATTGAAGTCGAGCAAAGTAATAATCCACGTCAGCAAGCACATACTGTTTATCGTCCAATACAGTTCATCATGGCCGAGAAACTAGTAAATTCGATTCTCTCAAAAAGTTTAGAAAAGCTACCGAAGTTCAGTGGCACAATAACTGATGATGTAGACAAATGGATAATTGATATTAAACACGAATTAAATTTAGTCAAACTGGATGATTCACACAAACTGGCCGTCATTCAAACGTATCTCGACGGTGATGCACGAAGAATCATTGAATATTCTCATGGAATTTCTTATCCACTATGGTTATCATAAAGTGAAAGGTATTCCATTGGACGCTATTCGGAAATTGGCTCGTATTGTGCTCGAAGAAAATGTATTTATGTATGAGAAAAAGTTCTACACACAAATTGTTGGTGGTGCTATGGAATCAGCATTCACATTAACATTAGCTAATATATTCATGTGGAAATGGGAAAAAAGACTTGTTTGTCACCAGACATTGTCAAATGAGATCTATGTCAGGCAAATTCGTGTTTTTGAAATAGTGTCTAGTCTATCTAAAATATTTGCTCTGTTATTGACAGATATATTGATGATATCTTCTTAACTACAAATGATTCATTACAAACCTTAAGTGAAATGTTAGATAAAGCAAATAATTTACATCCAAATATCAAATTAGTTCGTCAAATCGGGCGAAGCCTTCCATTTCTTGATGTTTTAGTGAAAAATAAGTGTGGCATACTTGATACATCTGTTTATCATAAAGAAGCAGTTAAACCATACATCGTGCCATTTAATTTCGATCATCCACGTTATGTTTTCCAAAATATTATCGAAAGTGCTCTTACTCGTGCAGTTCGAAACTCATCCACAATGAATGCCTTTAAGCGTGAACGACGTTCAATTATACACATGTTACTTTATATTGGGTAAGTCTTAGATATTCAAAACTATACTAGTTTTGATTTGTTTAGCTATCTACTGAGATAGGTTTATACTCGACTCAAAGAGTTTTTTCAACAACACAAATCTGTAGCAACTCAAAAAATTTTACGAACATTTGAAACTGAGAAACAATTCCTTACCATAAGGTGTCAAATCTTGGAACAACAACTTCACATACAGAAACCAAGACAAACTCATGTTACAACAACAACAACAACAAATACTGCCACAAACGACGAAATGGAAGATGACACCATCATACAACTATACCACACGAAACAAAGAAACTGGTACCAAAACCTTATAATTCATATTCAATATGAACAACGTCTGAAAAATTGTCAGAAAAATATTCATCAGATATGGGACAGAATCTTCATAGAGACACCAATCACAAATACCAGACCCATCATCGGCACAAACAATAATCGAAATGGTTTCAAAGAAATGATAACCAAACATCCTCAGGCGAGATCTTTAAGACTGAAGACAATACAACTCAATACTTGAATTCTTGACTCGATTTCTTGTTTATCTCTTTTTTAAGTTAAATAAATTCAAAAAATCACACTTAAAGGTTTGTACCTTAGCTGTGCTCCTCGGTTAGATTATGTGCCTGAAACTGAAACTAAGTGGATAATTTTAGATGAAAAAATGAGCTGTCTTCGAACTGTAAAGTTGACCACAGGTCGCCTCATACTAAAAGCCTACTACTGCGAAGCTGACACTATGACAAAGCCTTAACTAATATCCTGAAACGTATAAGATCCGTACTGTGCTAAAAAATAGCGATTTGAAAACATCAAAAAATTTAGCTCTTATAGAATCGACCAGAAAAAAAACATGACCTACAACGCTTTATGTTTTCACCACTATTGATATTAGAGCGAAGTCGAAACTATCTGAAGACACGCTTGAGCAAGGTCGAAACACGTCATGGTTTGCTTGAACTCACCCTCACCCTCCGATCTCTAAATTCTCGAACACTTCTATATTGTCTTGATATAGATGATTAGGTGTTATTATGTTAAATATCTTGACTACTTCATATCAATTGGAGAGTTTAGCTTATATGTAATAATAGAATTCAAAAGATACCTGCTGAGTCCCTTGAGAAAGGACGAAACGTCGTGTCGATCTCTGAATTCTCGAACACTTCTATATAATCTTATGAAGAAATCATGACTGATCGTTGTCCTCTAGCAGATAATTTCAATGCAGTTACAAGATTACTGTATCATCATTTGAAACAAGGAGCAATCAAGAAAAAACAATACGATAAACTATTTCCAAAAACTCATACATTAGAATGGGCTCATTTTCATGGTCTCGTTAAAGTACACAAAGTAAGACTTCATCTTTGTTATGTAGTTAATATTCTTTCATTTTCTTTTTATTTTCTCCATAGTATGGAACACCGGTTAGACCTATTATTGCAGGAATTAATGCATTAGGAACATTACTTTCGAAACTTTTATACCAACTTCTAGCACCTATTTATTTAGAAGTGGCTAAAGATACAACGTTTATTAATAGTACTCAGATGATTCGAAAATTAGAAAAATATGTAACAAATGGTCATTTCAAATCAACAACATATTTTATTATAGCCGATGTCAAGAATCTTTATACGATGATACCACGAAATGGTGCATTACATGCATTAATTCGATTTTTAGAAAAGTATTCCCATCAAAGAAAAATAGGTACATTCCGAATAGATCATCTTATGAGAATGGCTCGTTTAATATTGGACACAAATAGTTTTGCTTATAACAATAAATACTATAAACAAACGTATGGAGGAGCAATGGGTTCGGCATTTACAGAAGTCCTAGAAATTATTTATATGTTAGAATGGGAGCAAGATTTAATTAAATATCAAGAAATACATGAAGAAATTTATGGAAGGTTTGTTGAATATATATTTCATAGACATTTCTTCGTCGTTTATTATTCTCACATTTAGATATATTGACGATATATTTATCGTCACAAATGAACCATTCGATAGAATGAAACGAAAACTTGAACACACTGCAGACGAAAGATATTAACATAGAAATTGAAATTACAACCGATACATCCGTGAATTACCTCGATATCACTATTACAAATGAAAATGGATAATTAAAACAACGGTTTATCATAAACCAACTACCGAACCTTATTATTTACCATATACATCCGATCATCCACATCAGTATCATCGTAATATTCCATACAATGCTCTGTTACGTGTTGCACGTATTTGTTCCCACCTATATGATTCAATCAAGAACGAATTCGAATCGATATGTCACTACTATTGAGTAATTATCCGGCACAATTTATTTCAAATCAATTTCAACGTTTTTTTTCGAGTTAATCATGCAGAATTACTGTTAAAACGCCTGGATGATGACGTTTACCAATCTCTCCATAATAAATTACTTAATCAATCAACTTTACATGAAAGAAAAGCAAATTACAGCAAACAAGATCACATACAAAACCCGATCGTATTACAACGAAAACAATTTGACACAACAATGATGTATCCTCGATTTACTTTTCATCAAGGACCGACGACAGGATTCGCACATCGATTCTTTGAATGGTGGAGAAAACATTATGGCTATCCAGGATCTCCCATGAACAAAGTAAAAATCCACTTAATTCCAACAACCAAGTCCACACTAGAACAATTCCTCATTCACAAAAAGCCACCACGGACCATTTTAAGAAAAATGAAAACCAACGATAACTAACGGAACCAGTGAACTTTTACTGTGACATTGTATTCCAAACAGGTCGAAACTTGTGATGTATTTGATATTCTTCAATAAAAGTCTCATGTTTCTGAAAAAAGGATGCTACATTCTTTCATATGATGGAACGACACATGATATTTCAAGCTGTGAAAAGCTATTTGGATTGGAAACACAGAAGCAACTAAACAAAACTTTGAAAAAACATAACTAGTTCGATGAGGATTAAACTGCTAAATTCTGAAAAGTATATTTTTCAAACAAACGTAGAGAAGAAAAACACATACCTCATACATCACTAACTCTTAAGCAAAGGCAAAACAATCATCATCAACTGCTTTGAATCTGCCCAAAAGCAGTTTCTTCTATGTCATTCGTTTATATGTAATGATAGAATTCAAAAGATACTTGATGAGTCCCTTGAGAAAGGACGAAACGTCGTGTCGATCTCTGAATTCTCGAACACTTCTATATTGTCATCAGATCCTTAAGCAAGATCGAAACAAGCGTTTGTCATGGAACCGCTTATCTATATTCCTCTCATCCTCCTTTGAATTTGAAGTTGAAGATTAGATAATGTAGATAAATTCTAAATTCCAAAGTTGCCTGATGGGTCCCTTATGCCAGGACGAAATGCGTCGCAAAAACTGCTTGGAATTGTCTATTACCCTCACCTTCACAAGAAGTGAATAGACCAATATCCGATTTTATTTTAAATTATGAATTAATTGAACCTTATCCAGTCTATAAGTACAACAATTACTATTGGTTGTCGATCATCACAAACTTGTTATTTTACATGAAGTTACTTTTCTCTGATTAAGCCCCCTGAGAATTGTCTTTATTCTCAAGTTTCTTCTTTTTCTGAACTATTTCCTTAATCCAGCTGCTGTTTATTTTTATTATTGTTATTTGTTCTTTAGTTTTTCTTTATTTTATCTTTGTTTTTTTCTTTTTTGTGCTTAACAGTTTTTTTATAAATTTGCGTAGCCTTGAAGAGTGTTTGTATTTCAGAATAAATAACACGAAACGCGTCGGCGAAGCAAAATTCTACATTTATTTCAAGTTATAAGCACACTTACTTGATACTATCAAGTATAGTATACTTATACTCAGTATAAGTATACTAGATGAATAGACATTTCGATGAACACGTAGAATATCTTTTCTTATTTAATTCTAGCGTATATTCATTTGCAGATATATAAAAGGTATATCACAATTGGGAAGATATGCATCATTTTTAAAAATCATGCTATTCTGTTCAGACCTTTTCTTCTGTTCAAGCTGCCGATGTAACGACGTTGCCTATTATGAAAAGGAGTCAACAATCTACTTTTTGTACCCTGCAAGGGCATAAAAATGATTTTTATACAAGTAATTGTAGCGTTTCTTATTATTAGTCTTCCTTTTTTCTGTCAGATTCAATAAAATTGATATTTTATATTTGTGCAATTTTGAAGAACTATATGGAATAACAGCAGTGCTCGATACAGCTATAGATGAATATTCTTTTTCTCCTTCTGTTCGTTCACTAGGATAAAATACGAAAAGAGAAAATGGAAAGAAAAACATGTATTCCGAACGAAAAAAAAAGAGAGAAAGCAATAGAAGGCGTTAATTCCCACATAAAAGCAGTTTTTCCTCTATTGCTCGAAAACTAGACTTTGCACCTAAAAGCAGACACCGGATTCGGAATCTACGTAAGAAACTGAATAAGAACACATATACCAGTTTCTTCCAAACCGGACGCAAATATAATAGACTCGATAATGCTTAGTATAATAACAAATCAATAAATCTGTGGTGGGTATATTTCTTTCCTGTACTTTTCTACGGAAAAGAGGTTCGTGCTGATATCCAAAGCACGGTTTCGATTTTCCAGTTTCCTGGTGTTGTTGATTCAATGTTCTGGCATCCCTCGCCGGATCAAACGCCGAGTCTTTTCCAAATCCGGCCATATGTGGAGCTGTGCAATGGGAACATTTATGCTTGCTTTATCCTGAAAGCAATTTGTTTTCGGTTATAGTTACGAAACTTGTTTTCTGTGTCAATGTTTGAAGAAAATAGCTGTAGAAGATATAGGTGTATATTCTCTTCCTCATTCTCTCCATCCATCATGAAAATGGTGAAACGAACAGAAAGAGAGAGAAAGAGAGAGAGAGGGAGAGAAAAGGAGAAGGAGAAAAATACCTAATTTCAACGTAAAAACGGTTCCTCGCTTCTTTTTCAAAAGCTAGACGTTCCACCAGAAAACAAACATCAGATTTGGAATCTGCATGCAAAAAGGAATCAGAATATGTATGCTGTTTTTCTCTAAACCGCCCCCAAAAAAATAAGTATGATTTGCTATGAGTATCTCGACAAAAGATCGATTACTGAAAAGTAAAAGTTGAGATTAGCAGATTGATTTGCATCTCTAGATATACAAGTTGATCTGTTTAAGAATTATTTGATGAAATGATCGCAAAGACAATAGTAACGTCTGACTTTGAATTATTTCAAAAACTTCAACAATGGTCTTTGAACAATCTGAAACAAGAAACTGTTTTATGTACAATTGATGTAGCAGATTTTTATACCATGGTTCCATAAGTCGAAGGTGTTTTATCATTAAAAAAGATGTTAGATCATTTAAATCTTAAACAAATCGATGGTTTAAAAACTGAAGTTATTATTCGTTTAGCCAGATTTGTTATGAACAATAATTATTTTAAATACAATGATCAATATTATCATCAGATTAGAGGTGGAGCAATGGGTTCTCCATTGACTCTTACTATTGCCAACTGTTATATGTTCTTTTATGAACAATATTTTGAGACAAATTACAAACACTTTTGGCTTATATGTACGTTACATCGATGATATTTTTATTATTATTAACTGGCCGATTCGTCATTTTCTAAAACAAATTGACTGCTGGAATGAATTTGATTCCAATATTAAATTATTAGCCAACATCAATTTAAAAGCTAATTTCTTGGATTTATACATGGAGAATCAAGATGGTACATTATTTAGCTCAATTTATCATAAACCATCCTATGAACCATATTACTTACCATTCAATAGTACTTATCCGTTACATATGAAAAACAACATATCATTTACTATGTTACTTCGAGGAATTAGCTATTGTTCAACATTTGAAGCATACTCATATGAACACGATCAATTACGAATGGCATTACTTTTAAATAAATATCCAAGTAAAATTTATTGATCAACAATTTAATTGTGTCTTCAAAAAATATCAGATCATCGAACCAATAAATTCAATTACTTATAATAAAATTCGTCAACAAATTATAAATAGCCCGATTAAAATTAAAGAACCAATTGATTATGGACATACAATGTTCATTCAAAATGGTGTTCAAATATGAAGACATTCCCTAAAAAATTCCATAATCTTTGGAACAAATATTTTTCCGAATCACCAATCAATAATATTACACCGATATTAGGCACGCGCAATACCATTAACTTATAACGACGTCTTTTGCACACCCGTGATTCATGAATAATATTATATTATACATTTATACTTATTCTTTAGATATATTACTTTATTAATCGGTTGGCTATATCTGATATATCACTATCTTCATTCACACACTTTTTCAACCAAAAGTCGTATAAGCTAGTATATTAAATCATAAAAAAATCAATAAACTATCATTAAAATAATTAATAAACTGAGCCTAGTCGAGTTGTTAAATCGGCCTAAGACCCCGACATCTTTTCACAGTGGCACTCCAAATCACACCGAGTGCAATGCGCATAAGTCGTTTTTGTAAATGTATCAAGTTTTTTTATATAAGCGATGAAGTCAAATGTTTTATCTCATTCAACTCAACATATCATCAGCTACAAAA